CATAACTCTTACAGGAAGACACCTAGAGTAGAATAACTGGGTTGAATGAAATTTCTGTGATCAGATTTTTGGAGAATCTCCATACTAATTTCTTTTTTTTAAATTTTATTTAAAAGGAAAAAGAAAAAACAAAACAAAGTGGTGTAAGGGTAAAAGTAATATAGAACTACAAAAAAACAGTAAGAAATCACCAGTTAATAGATTACACATTATCATCTTAGAGATAGTTGCTCAAGTCACAGTATCAAAGCACACAAAGTGGACATTCAAACAGTGAGACTGCAAACAGTTGTGTTCAGTGATCCAAGCAAAAACATTAATATGGTCATCTATTTAACACCCCTAAACACATTTGCAGTTGTATCCTTTAGAGCACTTTTTCCCTCTCTTTTTTTACAACAAAATTTACACATTTTGGGTTTTATTACTCCTTAGTTCTTATTACTTTTTTTGGAAGAGAATAAAGTCAAGTATGGCAAAACAAAGCTGTTAGTCAAAACCAAGGATAGACATAGCACATGATGTAAAAACAGAGTACAGGGTTATCAACAGTGGTTACCATAATGTCTCTTGCTTCCTTAAAAAGAATTGTCTATCTCATTAGGTATTATAAAGTTGAACAAAACAGTAGAGAACAAGACCAATAAAACCTAAACATTGTAAACATTACAGGACTTCCAAAGGAGATAATAGTCAAACCAGAATGGGCATCTTAGTGAATCTTATTGCCTTCAGAGTAGTTGCCTATACCCTCAAACTTGATACTATCATACAGAATGGAACAGAGTCTAACTTCCATTGTGGTTGTTTTAGTTTACATTCCTACTAACAGAATAGACGTGTGCCTTTTCCCTGCTTGGAAGAAGCCGTGAATGGATGACAAAAATGTGGTATGTACAACTCTGCCACAAAAAGAGTAAATTGAAGTCATTGTTAGCAAATGGATGTATATGTTAACTGAAATAAATGGTAGAAATGGATGCATATGTTAAGTGAAATAAATCAGACACACAAACTTCAATATCAAATGATTTACTGTGATATATATGGGAAGACTCCTAAAATGAATTATAGAGCAAAATGAAAGATAATAGGAGATGAGAAGATGGATCTTTCCCCAGAGCAAAGAGGCTGAAGAGATGCAGGGAGGGGACAGAGAGAGGAGGGAAAGAGATTTAAAAAAATGACAAGTGACACACAGATATCAACTCACCACGATGGATGTAATCAATATGTAGTGAAATCATGTACTAATAAAATAAAAAAGAAAGTGGCAAGAACATTAGGAGGGGTATTGTTATTGATGGCATTGTGTCATTTACTCTAGTAAATACTTTTATTTTAAAATTTTACCATGTATTTTGATCACGCCTTGTAAAACAGAAAGCATTGCAGAGTGGTGAGGTACACTTTCATGGGAGTTTTGCCAAAATATCAGTTTTATTTTGTTCCCCACTGCTGCCATGTACATCTGTACAGTGAATTGTTTCATAGATCTAAGTAATTCAAACATAGTCTTAGTAAATATTTATTATATTGTTATGTATAACGAATACTTCTTTATAACTTTATTTAATATTGATATGCCAATCTCTAATAATAATTGAAAACCTTATTCAATAGTGGTTATTTTAAAAATATGCAAACACAACAAACAAATTTTTGTTAATTTTATTTATTCATTCACTCTTAACTATTAAATATATCAGTAAATAGTATGAAATACAATTTATAACATAATTAACTCACCAACTTACTCAACGAATAAGTACTGAACAATATTATGAAACAGTCTCTTTCTTATTCCTCAGGACAACAAAGTTCAGTAAGATACCATGATTTCCTAGCAAGAATGATGTCGAGAAGAGGACATGGAAATGAAGTAAAATTTTGTAATCCATTTTTTACAATGCAGTGTGGAATGGTAGAGTAATGGACAATGGTTTTCCATTTTATAGAGAAAGATTTATTACTTATACACATTATCACTCTTGTATGTTTTATATATGGCTCAAGATTGTTTCTCTTCACTCAGTTCTATCCCAGGCACATGAAAACACTGGAGTCAAATGCACAATATAAAGCAGTTAGTATTTGGTGAAATGAATAGGACTGAATCTAGGCTGACTTGTTGGGTACCTGGGTTGTATGATAGTTTATAGAGAACTTTTATCCAGAAAAAATAATATAATAGAAAATAGCTACAATGACCATGGTGATATGGGTTTCAGAAGTTTGGGCTTGATAATCTTGAAGGATATCGAGGAGATATATTTGAGGGACTGAGATGTGATATGCACAAATGTCCTTTGAAAGAAAGAAAGCATCTACTCATACTTTCTTAGCTATCCTGGTTAACTTGAGGAATAATTTTATATTTCACCGTTGTGCTCTACAAAAATGAACGGGACAAGAATTCAAAATTTCTAATAAGTACAAGGTCTAACAAATATATGTATTCTTTTCAATAGAGCTTCCTATGGTATTCACAGGGGAATTTTTTTCCAAGATTCACTATGGATACAAAATCCACAGATGCACCAGTCCCTTATAGAAATAGTATAATGTTTGCATACAATCTATCTGTGTTATCTGACATACTTTAAACCATTATTTATGATTTATTGGAAATTATTTATAATACCTAATACTATGTAAAGCTTATGTAATTTATTATTACCCTACGTTTTTGTGCTATACTTATTAATGTATTATATTTTTATTCTTTTTTCTTTTTCTCTGATATTTTCAATCTGTAGCTGGTTCAATCTATTGACATGGAACCTGTTTACAAAGGGATAACTGTCCTGTTTTTTTCCTACTAGTGCATATTTAAAATAAAATCTATTTTATGAATGAGAAATCTACTTTATTAAATCAGTGATTTACAACAATAATAGAAATAGGCTTCTTACTTTTTCTCTTGTAATACACCTTATTGTACTGTACTTGTATATTCTTGATTACCCTGTGTAATTGAAATGACTCACAAAAATGACAGATACAAGGAGAGAGTATGGTACAAATTCTATGTCTATGGAATCAATTATTTTGTCAAGTGAAAATATTTTACCTGCCTAATGCCAAGAATTGGGTCTTCCAGATTTTAAGATAGTATGTGATTGTGTCACTGAGAAATTTTCTAGTGCCAATCTAAGCACTCCTTTATTAGAAAACTAAACCATAACCATTTGAAAATTAATTTACAGTGATCTCTATACTTTGGCAAATCAATGTCCTGTTGTGGTGATATATGATCAAGACAGTTGGCAATGGGTTTATTCTAGAAGAAACTGTGAGAGGTACAAAACACTGCAATATATTATGCTAAATCATATAAAATAAATTAAATTATTTTATAGAATATTTAAAAATGTTATACTCATTCAATAAGGAAAAATGATCAAATATTTGTACTTTTAAGTAAAGATTTACTGCTAAACTATAACTTCTATCCATTTAACTATTATGATTTGATAGATATAATAGTTTTCAAAAACAAAATTATTTATTAGATATTATAAAGTGCCATTTGATAAAGACAAGGTTTATTCTTTTATCGTTCTGGGAGTAACAATGCTGCTGGTCTGAGTTTTAGTTAATCTTCAAGAGAGCTAAAAAGCACATGGTGTTTTAAATAATGTACAAATGTTATTTGAAATCGGAGATTCTAAATTAGTCTTAAAATAAAACAATATTATCAAATTGTTGCACTTTTCAATGGAAGTTTCTTGAATCTGATTTTTTACAAATTCCTATTTATTCAAATATAGTAGAGTTACATTTGTTATTTTAGCAATTCGTTAATGTTGTCAGATAAAAAGAACCTCTCTATTCGTGTAATATTATCATTCTAAAATAAAATGCTCAAACATCCATGTTTTTAGTAAAAGTGGCATGCAAAATGTGTAAAAGAAGTTAAACCCATTGACTTTAATGGAGAGGAAGCCTGAATCCAAGCATGTAAGAATACTGTAATTGAATTCTCGCTCTCAGACTTTGATGGTGTCTCATCTCTGGTTAGCTTCCATGCCCCCATTCCTGGTTTCCTTATATGTAAATGGTTCAGCCTTGAAGAGTTGCAAAGAAGGCAGATTCTTCTTACCCTGTAAACAATCCTTCTTCAAGCGTGTGAACATACTGGATATCTGTGTGACTGTGCATTTAATAGTTTTGCTTCTACATTCTATATGACCACTTCAGATCATAATCTATAATTACTTAATTTATAAAAATGATGTCAATTTGTCACATAGGAAGTTGAATTTTCAAAGCGATACCTTGGGAACTAAAGGAATGAAATTATACCATAATGACGTGAAAATTATTTTAAAGACATTTGAAACTCAAAAGATGCAAAAAATAAGCATTTTTGGAAGTTTTCTCATCTGAACCAAGGCAAGAATTTCCAAGAACGAGTGCTACAAATCCTCTTGGCAGTGGCTTCACTCAGAAGAGGAGAAGAAAGAAACATTGGTAGAAACTGCCTCCAGGTGAGATTTCCTGATGGAAAAAGACAGAAAATCCTATTTTCCCTAGCATTAAACAAACACCAACACCATCTCCTGTCTCCTATGTGTGTCCATTTTAGAAGTTCAGATTTTTATCCTCTGAAAACTTTCTTTCATGTATTTCCTTTCCTTATGAAATTGGGCATATAAATTTCTACTTCTTGTAGAAGTTTAATCCATCATGATTAGAATCCAGTAACCTGGATTTTTGTGCATAAGAATATATCATAATCTGATATCAACCACTATAATTCAGAGGTTTCCAAATAGTGAATCCAAGAAGATAAAAGAAAACATTTCCATGTAAATGTGAATGTGTGCTCCCATGGATGCATGTCTGTGCATGTATGTTACAAAAGCCAGCAACCCAGGCATCTTTGAACATCAGCTGCTTTCCAAATGTTTTGTCTCCCACACATCCTTAGGTATTTAGCAGTGTACCTTGCTCCAATATCAGTAAATACTCTTTAAATGTTTCTGTCCGAAAATTTATATTGCTTGAGCAAATATTTTCCTCCTAATTATTTGCTTCATAGCTTCTTTTGCTTCTCTGCTTCTCACACTGTATATGAGAAAGTTTAGTATTGGGAGCAGAAGAGTATAAAACACAGAAAGTATTTTGGCTCTGTCCTGTGTGTAGCTAGAGCTGATTCCCAGGTAGGTAAATATCATTGTTCCATAGAAGAGTGTTACTACTGTTAGGTGGGAGGCACAGGTGGAGAAAGCTTTATATCTGCCACTGGTTGACTGCATTTTCAGGAGAGTAATAAGAATTCCCAAATAGGAGCTAATCACTATCAAAAACGTAGTCACAGATGTTGTTGCAGACAAGACAATGAATAAAGCCTCACTGTGATGGGTGTCGGAACAGGAGAGTTGAAAAAGCAAGGGGATATCACAGAAATAATGATTGATGGCATTAGGACCACAGAAAGACAGGCTCAGCAAACTGCTTAGACGGGTGAGTGAGTTAGCACAGCCCAGCAGGTAAGAGGCAGTCACCAGGTAGCTGCAGAAGGATGCAGTCATGAGACCTCGGTAGTGAAGTGGGCGGCAGATGGCCACATAGCGGTCGTATGCCATGGCAGCTAGGAGGAAGCATTCTGTGGTCAGAAACATGTTGACAAAGGAATACTGCAGGAGACATCCCTGGTAGGAGATGACTCTCTGTCCCGCCATGTAGTTTGCCAGCATTTTAGGGATAAAGACAGAAGAACAGCAGAAATCCAAGAAAGCCAACTGGCAAAGGAAAAAGTACTTGGGAGAATGGAGCTGAGTGCTAGTCAAGATTATTGCAATAGTCCAAATGTTGCCCACCACAGTGATGACATAGATCAAGAGAAGCAACATAAAAAGCACAATATTCAGTTCCGGGTCATCAGTCAGACCCAGGAGGACAAATTCAGTGATCACAGTGATATTGCTGTCTGCCATTTATGTGGCTCACCTGTGAAGGATCTGCAGGAAACAAGAAGAAAAATTAACCAGAAAGTCGACAGAGTCACATGTGATCTCATGGCACAGCATTAGATTCATCTATAAACCTTCTCCAGTAGCTAACGATGAGAATCATATATGACAGGAATGGAAACTTTCACACTTCATATAATATTCTGCCAGTGGGCACTACTTATTTAGCACAATGAAACTAATAGAGAATGAGAAAACAGACTGTCTTTTCATACACCATAAATTACTTTGAATAAGTGAACTTACGGTTTTAGGTTTTGTTTGTTTTTTTTAGTAATGTTCAGGTACTTTGTCTTTATTTTTGAAGAAAATGGATTTGCTCAGTATATATGATTTTTTATTTCAATAATTTTAGGGTTGCTTATTTAATTTAGCTAATATTAGTAATATTATCTGGGCTATCTTTCATGTTGTACTTTATTTTTTCTATAGAATCAGTATTATTACAATAGGCTAATGTTTGTTTGAGCCTGAAAATTTGCTCAAGCAGTAGAGACAATAAAATCTTTGCTCTTTCTCTCAGAATTACCAAATTAAATAGTTCACATGAATTAATCTCAGAATATGATAGTTCTTTTATACATTCTTTTTTATAACTTAAAAAATTGAAAATCTAAAACCTTAAATGTAGCTAATTGTTGAAATGCAGAACAAATGCCCGCTAACATGTAAGAAAGCTAGTTAACTTTGGCAGTGGCCTGATTCTATGCAGCTCATTACAGTTACTGGAATGAATTTTAAGCAAGTGTTTTTTCTTCACATTATACACTGAGAGGCTCACATTTTGAAAACCACAGAAGGATTTTATTAAGTTTTTGTCACAACACAGCAACAAAAATCTTACCTGGTGTTGAGAGAAAGTTTTGAGCCTTTTCTCTTCGTTTCCTGTCTGCTGGGTTTATATTTGGCTTTCATCCTTTGGAGGATAGAATCCCTAGTGTTCTGTGAACACTGAATTTCTTTGAAACAGCCAGAGACATGACTGAGCAAATTATGGTCCCAGAATGCTTTCCAAAATGTAGCAGATGACTTATTTAGACTGTTCACAATCTTAGAGAAAAATTATCGTGTCTTATGTGGATCTCTTCAAAGACAAATCTGAACCATTAAAATTAGTATTTCTTACAAGTAAGATTATAATTTGTATTAATTATATGCAAATATTATAAATATGTATACTTTAAAAGTTCTAAATTCTATTTGGTGATGTCCATGTAATTCATACATCCATCATGATTAGTAACACAGAAAATATATACATAGTTCAATATGAGACAACCCAAAGGGAGTAGTAAAAATTTTGAAATAGAATTTCATATGTTCATGTTTGAACACCCACTCGAGTGCATTTTCACATAGCACACTGCATTTTAATATTAAGGGTCATTTATCTATTTAGGATATAAAGACAGATATCAAGTTCAGAAATTTTCTTTATGTATTGGGTGAACACGAAAGCAATGAGGAACATGAGGCATACTGAATATTCAGACAAGTGGAGTATAGGATAGAAATACAAAAAATGAGGAATGGACATTGCATCCCTGATGGCAAGGCCAGACTAGAAGACAGTGAGATCACACTCCCAGCCTCCCCCATTACTCCACAAAGTCTGTTGGGCTGGCTGGAAGAGTGTAAGACCAACGGAAACTACAAGTTCCAGACAATATCCAGGCACAGAGATGCACACACACACACAAACATTTGGAGGATGAAGTAATCACTGAGGCTGGTAATGTGCAAGTCGCTAAAGCAGCAGCAAAGAGATGGCAGTTGGATTCTGGAAAACACTGTTAGCAGACCACTCCCATCCCCCACATCCAGAGGCCAATATTGGCTCTATGCCCAGCACATCTCTGGATGTAAATGGACATTATCACAGAAATGTAAACACCAGTGCACTACATTTGGGAGTGACCCAGATGATTGTTTTCAGTGTCCAATCAGTACATGAGGACATATTCTCTTGGAGAGTATTATGGATTAAAAATTGTGGTCGGGTTACCACCCGCTGAATTAAATCAAACCATTTGATGAAAGTTGCAAGCATAAAAGGAAACTTAAAAACAAAGCAGGTAACATTGTGGTTCTCCTGAAGGAGCTTTTCATGCTGCCTCCCCTGATATGCACTCAATTTTTATCATCAGAGGGACTTGGGACTTTGTTGCTGAGAATGCCTGTGGTTCACTTAGGTCTTTACTTTTTGAGCATCACTTCCTGGCTCCAGAGAGGAAGGTGTGTGTTGTTCAACCTCCAGGAGAAGCTTGTCACATTGGCTTCCTGATGTGCACTTAGCTACTGTCATCATCAGAGGAGCTTAGGATCTAATTGTCACTGAGGATGACTGTGGCACTTTTCAAGGAAACCTTGGTCCTTATTTTGAGCATAACTTCTTGGCTCCAGTGTAGAACCTTCAACCTGCTGGCACAGGTTCTTCAACTCACAGGTATAGACTTTCTAGCATCTACTGATGACCTTTGGACCTTCCCAGCAGAGATCCATAAAACAGACTTTCATGAGTCATTGTCATGGACTGTAGGCCTCCAGTTGGATTTGTGAGTGGCATTGTCATGGGCTGTAGGTCTTCAGCTGTACTCATGCCAGACATTGGTGTGGGATCCAGGCCCTTGGCTGGATTTTCTAAGTCTTTACTGTTGTGTACAGCTTTCCTGCACTTTCTTGTATTTAACTCTGAGTGACCATGATAAAATAATATAAATTTCATATGTAATTATTGTCCTTGCAACCACTGACTACAACAGAGAATGCTACATGGTGTAGATCTTAGTATAGTAGGAGGTTTCACGTGTTGCCACACCATTTTTTGCTGCATTCATTGCCTTAAAAGTGCATTCCATAGCAGTATGAAAATTTATGCTCATAAGAACATTTTAATTAAAATAATATGGATCATTGGAGCTGGCCCGAGCCTCAAGAACCTACTCCAGCCTTGCTGACTGCCTTCCCTCACACAGAGAGCACACTGCAGGTGCCCCACCTGGAGGAGGGAGCTGAGCTGAGCCACAGGAACCTACTCCAGGCTTGCCTGCAAACTTCTTTCAGCCTGGAGAGCACCAGCACTACTGCCATTGCCTGGAGGAGGGAGCAGTCCTGCTGAGGAGATTTGAGGCCTACCTAAGCCATAGGAGTGACATTCTACTAGCCTGGGGAGCTTTGCCATCCAAGGAGATGGATGGTTACACAACATCCAATTCTCAGGAGAGTATGAGATCCGTGCTCTAGGGGATGGGGGCCTGCTGGGCTTGCTGCCATACTAGATTGGGCTTAGCGGGATGTGAGCCTGACTGGACCACAACAGGTGGCCTTCTTTCCATCAGGGGAGCTTTGCTGCCAGAGTGGGGAGCTGTGTAGCTTGAGAAGGCTTTAGGTCTATCTGAGAGAAGCCTGGCAACCTTCTTTTAATCCAGGGGCCTCGCTGTCCAAGGAAGGAGCTACGATACCAGAGGAGTTCCAGGAGCCCCAAACATAGGACACAATTTCCAACACGCCTAAGGGAAGCTTTGGAACAACACTTGAAACACAGAAATATAGGAAAATGACAAAACGAAAGACCAAAATGCAATCTCAGACCTCCAGCCCAACCCAAGAAAGCCTCGGAGCCATGTACATAGAAGAAAATATGTGCCATACACCTGAAATACCTTAAATAATAACTGAAATAAAGAAACAACTCCATATGTAACAACATACAGAAATCAATAAATGTAATCCACCATATCAATAAAGCCAAAAGTAAGAATCACATGATCATTTCTATAGATGCAGAAAAAGCTTTTCATAAGGTCCAACATGCACTTATGACAAAAACCTTCATGAAAATTGGAATAGATGATCTTTATCTATTCCATCTCAATATAGTAAAGGCCATCTATGACAAATCAACAGCCAGTATCATACTAAATGGCCAAAAATTGAAGGCTTTTACTTTAAAATCAGGCACAAGACAAGCGTGTCCCTTATCACTGCTTCTGTTTAATATAGTACTGGAAATTCTAGCCAGAGCAATTAGACAAGAGAGAGAAATAAGAGGGGTAAAGATAGAAAAAGAAGAAGTTAAATTACCATTGTTCTCAGATGACATGATACTCTACATAGAGGACCCCATAAGCTCCATTGAAAGACTTTTATATAAAAAATAAATTAGGAAGTATAGCTGGATACAAAATCAATACTCAAAAATCAATAGCATTCCGCTACACTTACAAGAAAATCACAGAGAGAGAAATAAGACAAGCCACACCCTTCACACTAGCAACCAAGTAAATGAACTATTTAGGAATTATTCTCACAAAAGAAGTGAAAGACCCATACAGGGAAAATTACAATACACTGAAAAAAGAAATTGAAGATGATCTCAGAAAACGGAAATACATCCCTTGCCCATGTATAGGAAGAATAAATATTGTGAAAATGACCATTCTCCCAAAACTGTTATACAGATTCAATGTAATCCCAATAAAAATACCATCAACATACCTCAGAGAGCTCGAGAAATCACTCCCAAAATTCATCTGGAGTGAGAAGAGACCTAGAATAGCAAAGACATTTCTAAGCAGCAAAGGCAAGGCAAGAGGCATCACAATCCCTGACTTGACTTGACAACTACAAACACACTCAACCAAACAGGTTCAATGGAAGAATGACAGTCTCTTTAATACATGGTGTTGGAAAAACTGGCTCTCCATATGCCATATGCCAAAACTAAAACTAGACCCATGCCTACCACCATGTACTAAAATAATATCTAAATTGATCAAAGATCTGAATATTAAAACAGAAGCACTAAATCTATTGGAAAACAAATTGGGTAAAAACCTTGAAGACATAGGAGTAGATAGAGAATTCATGAACAGGACTCAAACCACACAGGAAATACTTCCCAGAGTCAATAACTGAGATCACCTCTTATTAAAAAACTTTCTGCATGTCAAAAGAATTCTCCA